CCTGCCTGCCCCAGCTCTGGCCCTTTAAAGAAAAATTAAAAATCCTGGGACTCAACAGCTCCTGTGGCAGCCTCAGGGCTTTGGGGAGCTTGTGGAAGAGCCCCCCATGTGGTGGCGGGCAATGGGGATTGCCCCCTGCCGGGCAGGAACAGTGAGTGCAAGGTTTTGGATTTTTTTTCCCCTTAAAGGGCTGGAGCTGGAGTGGGTAGGGCAGCCATGGTGGGGGATGGTACAGCGGTGGGGTGGGGCTCAGAGGGCTCGTGCAGAGCCCCCCCATGCAATATGGGGCAGTAGGGATTGCCCCCCACCTGGCAGCACCTGGTGAGTGGGGAGAGGAAGGTTTCAAAGTGCCAGGAGCTAGGGCAGGTGGGGCAGCCATTGCTGGGGCTGGGAGAGCAGGCAGGGGATAGGCCTGTGTGATTTGGAGATTCGGCCAAATCGATTTGGGACAGTGATTCAAATCACCGAATCGAATCACTGTCCCCTGAATTGGCAGAATCTGAATCCAAAGCAAATACTAGCCAGTTTGCACAGGCTTACCTGGTGGTAAAGGAGGCTGGAGCATGATGCTGACTGTAACACTTTCTCATGCTAATATTAGAGAAACAGTGGAGCCTTGCCTCAATGACATGTAAACAGGACATGTTTACCTTTACACTCAACTCTCTACACCTTTTTTGGAAAGTGGTTTTCCCTGGCTCTACAGTCTACTTGGACTATCTTAGCAGTGTTCTTGCTTTCAAGTCTGCTGCACCAAGTACGGATTTCTCAAAAGGAACTGGATTATAAATCTGCTTCCTGATGTTTGTGCAATTTGGTTAGTTCCAGGGATGTATTTGGTAGCCATGTTGGTCTGAGGCAACAAGAAATGCAAAACTGGAACTCTTGGTCCAGAGATGATACCTTTCATTTAGTTTGGTTGGTTTTACACTTTTTGGTAAGTATTGTAAATGTTGCTTACTTAACACAGTGGAGCTTTGTAAATTATTTTGGTCCTGGAATATAAAGCTAAGAATCTATCCAACTTTTATCACACACAGGTGCATTATTTCCTATCTTCAGAAGTTGGGAGATTTTCCCCAGTGCTGTATGCTCCTCTATTGGTACAGGTGAAACACCAAAGTTTTTTATTACGTATACTAGCAAATTGCCTGTCAGGAATGATGGGGAGGGGTGGGCAGGAACAGAGCTCTGCTGCTGCTCCTCCAGCCCTGTGCGCACTCCCCACCCCTGTGCCCTCCCCCATCCCCTGCA